AATGCTGGACATCTGTTGAGAGACTCTAGTAATAATTGTATTTGTTTTTTGTTTTTTATTTTTGTAAATTTCACAATGTCTGCGGAGAAGGATGGAAATAAAACTTAAAGACTGGACTGGTGTAGTTACAGGGACTCTCAGCCTCAGAACAGAGGGGGATGTGAGAAAGTATCGACAGACAGACTAACATATTGATGGTCTGGGTCGGAGAAATAGACGGCTACGTCGGAGAGTTTTCTGTGTCATCAGAAACATGACTGAGTGCTGGTGGAGGAGAGTGAAAGGTGAGATGATCAATAACTGTCCTGAGTCCAGGTGACAGTAAAATAAATGATGCATTTATCAGTGTCATGTTTCAGCCTCAGAAGATGGATTTCATTCAAATGTGTCCAAAGTGGAGGAGGCGAGGCTCTGACAGAGGCATTATTTTATCAGACCACTGTCACCGAGGATCATTACAGTGAAAACACTCTCGTCACTGATAATGAGACAGCTCAGAGGAACGTCTCTGCTTAACAGTCACATTGTTAGTGTGTTTTCAGCCGTGTGGTGTCATCTTCAGGGAGTTTCCAGAGAAAACACACAACCTGAGCATTTGGAAACAGAGCGGCGTTAACATGGAGCACTTTAATTAGCGACTGCCTCATTTCTGTCCAACAGCTCTTCTTCTTGACAGCTGTGTCTTCATTATGTCTGCCTCTGCCTCCGGCGTCCCAGGTAATTACATCACACCGGCTGTCCACCTAAACCCTACAGCGTCATAGTCCCACAGGTGCGTTTTTAAAGGGCAGGTCACGCTGCTAATTGGCACTTTCAAGGAATCCTGGAGCTGCAGGACCTGACGGAGATCAGGTAATTTCTTTTTAAACCTCCAGGGGTTAAAGTCTGCTGCAGACAGTTTGTATTCACATTAGCGCTCCAGGGAGGATAATTCCAGTCAAATGGTTGCTACTACTGATCCATGTTTTCAGCTGGAGACGGTTGTTGTCTTTCCCAAAGAGACACACAAGATGAAGAGTCAGCCAGGGCAGCATGCTCACACTGACAACACTAACTCGCTGATGTTTAGCAGGTTCGATGTTTCCCACGTTCATCATCTTTAAACGAGCAGTGTGTAGGATTATTGACACCCAGCTGTGAGGACTGCAGATTAGGAGCAGCTGAAAGTTCTCCCATGTGTCGAGCATGAACTCCCAGTCAGGATTCCTTCAGGGCTCATTGTTTTCACCAAGAGTCAAATTATCTGAAAAGCTCTCCTCTCCAAAACAGACCAAGTGATTAAATCAGGTAGCAACACTGAATGAATCAGTTTCACGTTACAAACCGAGGTTTCTCACCTTTTATCTCTGATAACTCAAGATCCAGTTGCACAAAGCATCCTAAGTAAATAAAGTCCTTTAAATCTGAGTTAAGATTTCCCTTAAATAAAATCAGTTGCACAAAAAATCCTTAAGGTTTCCTTGAGTTTTTCTCCTTATCTTAATCTTATACTTAAGGAATTGCTAAGAGTTTTTTAAACCATTGCACAGAGGGCCTCAGCGACCAAAGTAAAAAACACAAGACACGCCTGACTGCATCTCCATGGCAACATGGCTGAGTTTTTGGTGACCAAAGAGGAAAATGAAGCATCCCAAGAAGAGGACCTGATGGACACCGTTAATGATGAGCAACTGATTTTGTACTACACATTTGACCATTAAGGTTAATTTATGATTTGGAGTTGGAGCTGGATCACTCAACTTTCCAAAGCTGCACTCTTTCAGCCCTGTTACAATTAATGATTGCTCTGCGGGTTTATGCAACGCGATCTTTCCAATCAGTTTTTGGCAAAGCAATTCATGTACACAGCTCAACTGTTTGCCACGTCGTTCACCAGGTTTCAAACGGCCTCACCCGTCTGCTGAACACGGTGGTGAAGTTCCCGTCCAAACAGGAGAAGGATGAGATAGCTGCACTTCTTTGATGTTGCTGGCTTCCCAAAAGTGTGTGGGGTGATAGACGGGACCCACATCAGGATTCAAGCGCCCACACAACAAGAGGATCATTGTACAGTTAGTCTGCAGTCATGAAAATAAAATAACCACTCTCCACTCTGTTTATAAAACTTACTCTGACTTCTGAATGCAGAAGTTTCGCTGGCGGTGGTGTATTGTCTCAGTGTTCTGCTGGATGTGGATGTCGACATAATAAAACTCCACGAGCCTCCTGTGTGTGCGGTCTGCTGTGTGTAACAGTGTGTAACAGTGTGTCAGTGAGTGTGTGAGCTGGTGTCACTCAGTCTGACGCTCACTGAGCCTCTGAATTGATGAATTGATCGAGCAGCTGAAGGAGAAACAGGACTTTCTGTCAGACATCTGCCTCCCGGAGGAATCTGAACCAAACAGCCTCCAGCCACAGCTGTCTGCGTCTGTGTCCACAGCCAAATGAAATATTAACCTGAACTGCTCAAACACCTGGAGTGGAGCATTTACACAAGTTCTTAAGGACAGTTCAGAGATTCTTTTACTTTGCTGGAATATTTTTAGGATACTTTATATATCTAGCAATTATCGGGCACTGTAAGAGGAACTGACAGGATGCCGGCCAGCTTTTCATTTCTGTGAGAGTCTGACATGGTAAGCAGGAGAGAGAAGGTATATCGTTCATAAAGCGTGGGCACTTCCTGTGTCCACTACGTGGCGCTGGAGAACACAGTGATTATACGTCATGTTGCTGTAAATCAACTGCAGACCGCACCATGTAAATTCTCTTTTAATCAAAAGATATATTGAAACTACCCAACAACATATGGAGCAGAGAAAATGAGCTTCACCTCAACTGACTATGAAATGAGGGTTCTGCTCACATATTTCTACATGATTAAAGCTGATGTAGGCAGTTTTTATTTTGGCTTCATTGGGCAAAAATCCCTCAGTAATCTCTGAGCGTGTTGTATTTAAAGAGGACTGAGAGAAAACTACACCCCTGCACCTCCTCTGGGCTGTTTTCAGGTCATTCACAGGTCATTTCAGAGAGACAGCGTTCCTGTTGGCTGCTCTACAAATGCAGATGAACGTCCCTTCAGTGAAAGCCTGATTCAATGGAGGAGAATCCTGCAGAGAAAGTTGCTGTTCGAGCATTTGGCAATGACTGTCTACACTGCAGAGCAACACCCAAAAATGAAGATGGACTGATTGAATAGAGTCTAAAAGAGACAATAGTGTTTCAGAGATGGAGAGAAAATGTTGGTAATAGTTTAGCCTTCTGCTAACTGGAGCTAAAGGCTCACGGCTGTGGCTTCAAGTTCAGTTTTCGTAGCTACTGTTAGCGTAAGGTTTGAATCACAGTGTGTCTTCTGTCTCAGTCCCAGCACCACAGACCACCTTGCCAGGAGGAGAGCAATCAGCAACCTCAGTTACCCAAATCCAGCCAGTGCAGACCCCAGTTCTAGAGAGTGAACATCCCCGACTCCCTGCCAGATTTGCGAACTTTCTGTTGCTGCCATTACACAGGTTAAAGCCAATGCTGCTGCTGTGACACCTGTCGCTGTAGGCTTTATGCAGAGCAAAGGGCCGTCTCTCAAGCCTCCAGCTCTCCTCCCAGCGAAGCATGGACAGCGGTGAGGAGCGAGGCGGAGGGAGCGTGGGGTAGCTAGCTGCTAATTCTTGTTGTATTTGTGGTCTGATAAACAGAGAGAGGGCGGAGCAGGGAGGGGCTGAGAGAATGAGCTGTGGGCAACTCAACAACTAAATGAGATTAAATAAATCAATGTATGGGAAACACTGAGGGTCTGTATGAAGCGTGTGCATATCCCAGTGATCGTCTGGTGGGAGGGGCTTAGGACAGAGCAGGAGGCAGGAGGAGGGTGTGTTTTCCTGATCCTGATGACAGAGACACTCTGTATATGTGCATTGAGCATCGTGTTAGTTCAGGCAGGTCACAATGTCAAGCTCAGCTCACATCCCAGCTACATCAGCTGATCTCAAACAGCCCAATCAACTCAAAGATCAGCTGATTGATGGAAGGGAGTCAGCTGATAGATCACATCATTCCTGTCTCATTCAGGGCGCCCTATTTAAACTGCTCTGGCCTGCCTACTGTTGCTGCTTCCTCTGCAAGCTGCTCTGCAACCTGCCTCCACCCCAGCTCCTCCTTTTCATGCTGTGTCTGACTTATCAATGTCATTTCTGTTTGTCATTTATGCTGCTCTGTTCTGCTCCTGGAGGGTCTTTGCTGCTGCTCTCCCTGTCTTAGGCATTCCATGTAGGCGCATGGAAGGGCAGAGAGGTGTGGTCTCTCCACCTTAAGCTTTCTACGTAGGCATGGGGAGAGTGGAGAGGTCCCAGAACACAGTCATATCACCAAATATCAAATCGCAAATAGTTTTCTTTGACTGAGGTGGTCCTGACTGAATTTTACTTTTGAAATGCTGAGTATATTTGTGGCTAAAACTTTGTTACTTTTTCTTAATGCAGGAGTTTTAATCATAGTGGAGTATTTTAATAGTGTGTCATTCGTACTTTTGGTTAGATAAAGGATTTGGATACTTTCCAGCACTGATTAAGACTCACATCAGACTCGTACTTAGAGGGAAAAGTGCCCTTCTACATGATCCACCTGCCATCTCACCATGACAAGCTTCACTTCTGTGCAAGAAAAGACACCACCTGTTTCTTCCTCTCAAATTAAGGCAGAGTAAACAGTTTGTTTAATAATACACCAGGATGAAACTTTAAGCTCTGTCTAACCTGGTGTTTGTATAAATCGTTGGCCTCAACACTCTCAGTGATTACGTAACACCCTCCAACTCATCCCATCACTGAACACTCTCCTGTGTGACAAATGTTTTCTCGGCTGATTTAAAATCTACATGTTTATATAATTCATCATGAATTTAAATGCAGATATTAAAAGCATTTAAGGTTCAAACAGCGGAGACAGAAAATGTGCAGCACATCTCTGCAGCTGGTGAGAGACTCTGAGAGGCTGATCAATGGAGGTGTGCAGGAATCCTCTCCTACCTGTCGTCCATCGATGGCTCCTCTCATCTCTTTGAACGTGGCCTCGAACTCGCCGATGTAGTCGTGTTTCCCGTTTGAGTCCCAGTCCCACACGGTGCACTGAGAGGACAGAGAGACGGAGACGCTTCAGAAAAAGATTTAAGAGGAGAGATTTCAGTTTGTTATTGTGTCATTAAGTGAAGCTTCATCACACTCTGATTACAGTAATTATCATTCAGTCACATTAACGATGACACGCAGCAGTTCATGTAATTGTTTTGTCTCTAATTAGAAGTCTGTTGTTGCAGATGAAGATCACGAGTCTGTTTACTTGTTTGGCGGCTTTAGATAAATGAGATTTTACAGAAGAGGTCGCAGCTCAGTCAGCAGATACAGTGTGTTGCTGAGATGTTCACAGTAAATGGCCAAAAGTGTGTGGACAGATGAACATACATCACTGCTGAAAAGTTTGTAACATTCATGGTCAGTACTTGTCTCTTTGTAGTGTCTTCATGTCTCTCTGTAGTCATCTAGAATCTCTTTGCGGCTGTTTTGAGTCCCTTCGCGGTCATTACTTGTCTCTTTGAGTGACATTTTGCAGGTAAAATCCATGGGGCCTGTCACTTTGGGCCCCTGGGCCTGTGCCCAGTGTGCTCCTTCAGTAATCCATCCATGTTTATTAATGTGCTGCTGTAACCTCTTTCCCAGCCGTTCCCATCAGCTGACCTTCCCGGCCCACCTGCTCCTCCTGTCCCTCATTAGTCCTGCAGTATACTCATCTCCACTCTGCCTCTGCCAGAGCTCCTTGTTTGCATCCACTCAGCCCCCTAGCCTCTGTTCTTCCTGCCTGACCCTCAGATTGATGATTCTGTGATTCTGTGGCGGAGCCTTCTCTGGATAAGTTTCCCTGCTCTGACTGATCACCTGGTTTTCACCCTCGCCTGTTTATTGATTCAAGTGACCTCTTATCTTCACCTCTGCCTGTGAGTCATGCTGTTTGGTACAAGCTCGCTGTTTTCTGAGCCGTGACATCATGTTTTATCCACAGAGGTTCAGCTTTCCCAGCAGAAATTCATTACAGTTTGGATATTATTGAAACATGAAATATACATCCAAAGCTCCATGGATGAAACATTTCTTCTCATAAATCTGGACCCCGCACACATCACACAGTTTGCTTCTCTTAAGTAATATTTTGTGGTTTAAGTTTAACTCTTAAAGGTCCAGTGTGCAGGATTCAGGGGGACATATCTGCAGGAATGGAATATAATATAATTAGTCTGATTTCAAATATAAAAATAAGAACCACTGTTGTTTTGTTACTTCAAAATGAGCCCCTTATATCTACGTACAAAGGGAGCAGGTCCTCGTCTACAGAGATCGCCATGTTGCACCGGGATGTTTCTACAGTGGCTCAGAATGGACAAACCAAACACTGGCTCTCAAGAGGGACATTCGTGTTTTCACACTGGGCACTGTAGTTAGCAGCTGCTCCATCACAGGAAGCGTCTTCTTTTTTTTAATATAACGTCTTTATTCAGTGTTTTAACTGGTTTAAATCAGCTGGTCTGTTTGTTTTGCAGAGGAAGAGGCCTCTGTGGATAATTCAGTTCCCGGTAAAAACCTGCTGAATGTCTGGATCTTAAATTATCAGACAAAAAAGGTGAGCTCACATTAGCAGGCACTGGGCTGGCAGCCCGTCTCTGACGTGCTAAGCAGTGTAGGATAAACCAACACATCATGTTGATCTGTTCTGTTCGACATCTATTGCACGTCTGTCCGTCCTGGAAGAGCGACCCCTCCTCAGTTGCTCTTCCTGAAGTTTCTACCATTTTTTTCCCCATTACCTAGCCTGTTACATGCATTGTGTGTTTTCAAAATACACTTCTGTTTTCACAGGAAATGAACAGTTTGCATGCAGTCTCTTTCAAAATAAAAGCACTACGTCGGTACAACACTGCAAATTGTTGTTTTTTTCCTTCAACTTAAAAGAAGAGGGTTTGGCTTTACAGTCTTACAGGAAGTGAACACCAGCCTCTCAGGTGTTTCCCCCTGATGCCGCTGAGCGCCGTTAAACAATAACAGTATCCGGCTGCGTATCATGCCGTTATGAAATGATGTCTTTTTTTTGTTGGTGTCTGACACCAGGAGTCACTGACCAAGCACCAGATTTCGACGACTTCAGAATGAGACCGGTTTGAAAAAACACTGAATTTTGACCTGAAACTGTTTTATTCAGTGTTTTTACCGATTTTAATCAGCTGCTCTGTTTGTTTCTGAGAGGAAGAGACCTCTGTGGATAACTCAGCTCCTGGTAAAAACCTCCAGAACAATGGACACTTCAGGAATTCTAACCAGGAGAAGTTTCAACTGGTTGCAATCTACAATTCTCACCGCTGGACACCACAAATCTGCCCAAATCTTACACACTGCTCGTGTTAATTAAGAACTGCACCTGAACTTTATTGTATTTTGGACACACAATACATGATGACACATGTTCACAAATATGACAACATATAAACAATACACAAGAGATTGTGGGAAACTTTCTGGGAGAAAAAAAACATCCTTTCATTTGAATCTTTTGTTTTTCTAACAAGAGATTTTAAGAAGAGTCCTGTTTATAAATTCATCCATATTTCCATCTGATTTGTCTAAAAATGAGCACCACGTGACCTAAGGCAGAATATTTTTACATTAACATAGAAAAACAAAATTGTACTATGACATAAATATAAATTATTCACTCAAGCCACCAAAACTGACAAAAATAAAACGTATCACATGTGACAGCAGTTTGTTTTTTATCTGATGAAAACAGACATTCAGATACTGATGCTGAAAGTCAGACTATCACTTGTTAAACATGGAGATGGGTAAAAATACACTTTAGAGTCCTGCTGGACCCTCCATCCACATGATGGGTCCTCCCTCCAGAACCACTGGGAGTGATTTTACCGGCAGCACTGGGACCAGTTTGACCGGCAGCACTGGGACCAGCACGAGCAACAGGAAGTGAATAAATCAGACAAGGACTGAATCAGGACAGTTTGACCGAGTTCATGAAAAATAGATCGGAGGACGTGAAGAAGAACGCCGACAGTCTCCGAGTGAGAGGAAGACCACGGTCTCATGAATTTACAGAGCACACACACACACACACACACACACACCCACACACACACACACACACACACATGTGCTCCAGTTCTCATTTCAGTCTGGTGATTTTATGTTTTCATATATTCATGCAGGAGTTTCAGTGGGCCATTCACCAGACTGAAATGAGGACTGGAGCGTGCGTGTGTGGGTGTGTGTGTGTGTGTGTGTGTGTGGGTGTGTGTGTGTGTGTGTGTGATTAATCCTGCTCTGTGAGGCAGAGAAGCAAAATTCCCCAATATGTAAATATATATCTGTTATATTGCCCATAAATTCTTGGCAGCCGTGTGGAGCAGTGGACACATGAACATATTAACTCACAGCAGCACATCACCTGCAGGCTGAGCTACAACAACATTAAAGTGCACGTGAGTTCTTCACACATTTCTCATTTAGATGGTTAAAAAACTAAGAAAAAATAACAAAAACATTAAAAACCAAAGCTGATTTTTAAATCCACACATTCCTCTTCTTTATCAAAGCCTGGTGCCTGTATTACCCACAATGCAACAGTTCTATCTATAGCACATGAAGATGTGGTACACAGGATATATCTCCTTATTATTATTTTTTTATTATTTGGCCGTCCAACAACCACTGACTTTCACCCAGGAGGCCGGTGTTCACTTCCTGTAAGATTATAAAGCCAAACCCTGTTCTTTATTCCTAAACCCAACTACGTGTGTGTTGTTAAAGGAATACTCCGACGATTTGGGAGTTATGCCCTTTCTCTATCATTTTCATATTGAGACAACGTGATCGATATCTTTTTTGTGTCTGTACGTCCAGTGGCTGGGTCTCAGCGGTATCCCTCCGCGGATCACAGCGCAGGACGTAAACACACTATAGTTCCGTGTATCAAACTTCTTCTAAAACGACTAAAAAGGACTCTCGTTTTTCAAATTAATGTTTAAACATGTTTATTTTAAATGCACGTGCAGAAATACCAGCTTCAGGGTTTCTGTAACGTTCATTTGTTCACTTTTATGAGTAGGCTACTGACCCCCTATAGACTTCAGTTGTATTCGCTAAGCTAAGCCACAATGCTAACTGCTGAGACCCAGCCACTGGACGTACAGACACAAAAAAGATATCGATCATGTTGTCTCAATATAAAAATGATAGAGAAAGGGCATAACTCCCAAATCGTCAGAGTATTCCTTTAAAGGATAAAGACGTCAATTCGTGGTGTTGTACCGACGTAGTGCTTTTATTTTGAAAGAGACTGTATGCAAACTGTACATTTCCTGTGAAAACAGAAGTGTATTTTACTATAACAGACAATGCATGTAACAGGCTGAAGTTGACACGGCGTCCCAGAACGTCAACAACCAACACACCCAGGGTACCTTGGACGTCATATGTGGACGTGGAAAGTCCATGACCAAACGTGGACATGTGACGAGGTCACAGTGAGGATGTGTTGGACCCCAGGAAGTGTGCCTTTACCCTAGTTTTCGTTGTGACCAAACAATAGAATTACAACGCCCAGGTCAGTCACATGATTCAATAGGGCCAAAACAAGAAACTGTCCAAGAGACTTTGTGGAAGAGACGTCTGTAAATCACTGGATCCACTGAGCGACTGAATCGTTTTATCCCCATTCAAGTTTGCGAAGGGCGACACCAGAAGGCTCGACCGACGGAAGTCTCTAGTGCGCCTGCTCTATGAGTCGAACTGTGTGGCAGCAGCCCTGATCGTCCGCGAAAGTTTGTAAGCAGCAGATTAATTTTTTTTGCTTCATGCGCCATTGGGGCGGCTGTAGCTCAGCAGGTGGAGCGGGTCGTATACTAATCAGAAGATCAGCGGAAGTTCAATCCCCGGCTCCTCCAGTCCACAAGTCGTACCCTTCCCAGGTATCCTTGGGCAAGATACTGAGCCCTGAACTGCTCCTGATGGCTGTTTCATTGATGTGTGAGAGCGTTAGAGTGGTTACTGAGTATTAATTAGATGGCACC